TTATAATGTTTTTATAGTTTTAACTAATTATAATGATTATAATTTTATTATATAAATATTTTTATTTATCTTACAAAATATGTTTTACATTTATTTTTAATTAAGTAATTGTATATAAATGTATTTTATATAGCTGTCAAAAGTTAGGGCATTTTCACACAAAATTGGATTAAATAATGCAAAATTATGTCCCATATTATACAGGTTAAAATTGTTGCATACTACATGCTGTTTAAAAATAGTATGCAGTGGCAGGATTGCTAGTGTTCCATTCCAAACACAGAGGTGTGTTCCAATAGCAGTGTGGCTCCCTCTGCAGGCGGCGTACTCTCACGAGAAGGTCAAGATGGAGGGGACCATCACCCAGCAGACCAAGCTCATAGACTTCCTGCAGGCCAAGGTAGAGCACCCCTCTAAGAAGAAAAAGGTCAGAGTCATCCGCTGTGAATTCACTTCATTAACTAATCTGACTAACTGCTTGCTGAGCTGCGCATTAGGTGTCCCTGGAGCTACACACGCAAATAACTGCATACTAACTGCGTCATCCGTCAGAAATCTCATATATATTCATATATACAGAAGCCCTGAATAAGTGAGTTGTAGGAAGGGACACCTACCTGGATATGTAGGGATGGAATGGCAGGATAGAGTCCTAGCGTGTCTGTGGGCGTGAGCCTGGGCGATTCACTTGCTCTCGTGTTTTGGGTGCAGGGGCTGTTTGGCGGCAGGCGTCGAGAGGATCTGCTGGCGGCGCAGGGACAGACGCAGGTGCCCGCCGTGACCCCTGTCCCCCTGCAGTACAGCGACCTGAAGGCCGCGCTGGAGAAGGAACGCGCTCGCTGCTTGGAGCTGGAGGAAGCCCTGCAGAAAACACGCCTGGAGCTCAGAGAGGGTGAGCCGATCATACTCTGCTTTTACATTCAGTCGTGTGTTATATGTTGTCGGAAATGTTTTTAAATAGGGACATGTCACTGCATAATGGAGTTTAAAAGAAAGTTAGGGGCAGATTTTTACATAAAGCGCATAAAGAATTTCAGAAAAGACAGTGAAAGTTTGATAGTTTAATTTTAAATAAAAGTTCATATTAATTTAGTTTTATAATGGTATATATAGTTTTGTATTTTTACATGGAAAATGTTTTTATAGACTATAATTACAATTATTGCAATATATACTACTGTTTAAAAGATTAAGGTTTTTAATATGTATACTTAAGTATTAATAATAGTAATAGTTTTATTCATCAAGGATGCATTAAAGTGATCAAAAGTGAAAGTAAAAATATTGCTTTAAAATGCAAATTGTTGCTTTTTAATATTTTAGTTTCATCAAAAATAAATTTATTTTTTATAAATTTGTATTTTTATTTATTAAGGATGCATTAAATTAATCAAAAGTAACAGTGAAGACATTTATAATGTTACAAAAGATTTCTATTTCAAATAAATGCTGTTCTTTTGGACTTTTTTCTCATTGAAGAATAATGCATCTCAGTTTCACAAAAATATTCAGCAGCACAACTGTTTTCAAAATTGCTAATAATCAGAAATGTTTCTTGAGCAGTAAATCAGCATAGAATAATTTCTGAAGATCATGTGACACTGAAGACTGGAGGAATGATGCTGAAAATTCAACTTTGATCACAGCAATGAATTACATTTTACAATATATTACCATACAGAATTCATTTAAATTGTAATAATATTTAGCTGTCAAATGAATGCAGCCTTGGTGAGCAGAAGAGACTTTTAAGCAGTAGTGTAATAAAGGTTTTTTTAAATGACACAATAAGCAAACGTGCCACACACCGAGTGTAATGTTGTCAGACATGCTGGTTTTCTCAGTATAGTCTCTCTGTCGTCTCACTGTATTCTCTCCTCTCAACAGTTAAGTTTAATAAAGCTCTGGAGCACAGCGGTACTCCAGCCACCCCGGGTTTGGCTCGTCAGCAGCTCATGATGTCCACCAAATCCAACAAATCCCCCGAGCACCAGCCCAGCAGCGGCCTGGTGTCGTCCAGCTCCGGCCGCAGGAAGGACGCTGCCAATCCTGAAGGTTTGAAGCCAGACGCAGAGCTTTTGCAACCTTTTTAATATTCAAAACATAAGCAAAACATTGCCATTTCATCTTTTAAAATGAAATTAAATCAGAAGCTTGTAGAAAAATGCTGATTTGATGCATATTTAATGCTGTTTCAATATGAGATGAGGAGGCTCTGTCCTCTGAAGGACTCCAGAAATGTTTTGGCTCATGTCTGTCCACACTCACTGTCCTCTCTGTTGTCCTTTCACAGAAATAAGGAGAGCCACTTCTGAAAGTAAGTTCTTACATAACAGGCTCAGACGGCCCACTCTCAAGAAACCGTGCCATTTGTGCTTGAAATATCAGGATTTTTTATTTAATTATTTACACTTTTATTTCTAAAGGTTACTGATGAACCTTCAAGATCAGGCTGATATATGCCTAAAAATCATGAAATACAGATACAACTAACAAACTTCTGTTTGAACTATATGGTCAGAAAAACTTTTGACACCATTTCTCAAATATAATTTCAGAAAGGTCAAACCATTATTTTATAATGTGGAAATTTATCAAAATAACAGTTTCACATTCACAGCAGACACATTCTGCATTATTACATTAAATGCATAAAGCATTTTAGAAAAAACTTTTATATACATACTATTAATATGATATTATATATATATTAACCGTTGTGTGTACATACATATATATATATACACACACACAGACATACGGACACAAATTTATTTGAAAAATATATATTATAGGTTTGAAAAATATTTTATATATATATATATAAAATACATGTATTTGTATATTTACTATTTGAAATATATATGTTTTAAATGTGACAGTTTTCAGTCATGGGGACACAAATGGCACCGTTTTCTGAGAATGAAGCAGGCGTCTCTCCAATATCTTTTCTTTCTTGATATGATCTTTGCAGAGATAAGCTCTCTGGCCAAATCCAAACATGTCATTCAAGGAAACGTTTCAATTGAAGTCTTTTGGCCGTCCTATACCCAATATATTAAACGAACACTTGCTGTGTCAGGTCATCATGGTTTGATGACTGCAGACTTCCACTCAGGACATCATGGAATGATTGTGGATCTCCAAAGCTCCTGCACGCAGATCTGTCAGGACACTGAGCTTATCTCGTATATATGGCCATACTCCTGCTGTATGCCATGCGGAATGCCAGAACTCCGAAATCCTTGCATGCTCATACCCAAGCTACCAATGACAGCTTGGACAGTACAGTGATGCTGGTGTTCTGAGAGCTGGTTTCACCCTCTGGTGGAGAAGTGTTCTCAGGAGAGGACATTTTCAGCTTGCTTTGGCCTGTTTGCATAAGTTATATAGACAGGCATAAAAGACAAGACTGTTTCTAAGAAAGTACATTTGTTTGTTTGATCCTGTAGAGTACACCAGACGTGTGAAGGACAGGATTCATCACAACACTGCTCACCGCTTCACACAGGGACTCAACATGAGGGCGGCCCGCTGCACCGTCTGTCTGGACACCGTCCATTTTGGACGGCAAGCCGCGACATGCATCGGTACAGATTACATGTAGACCATTTCCAAATACATTGTCGCTGTGCTTACAAGTAGGGATGTGCCGATATTACTTTTTACAGGAGTACGATACTTATTTTTGTTACTTTCCGATACCAGTACCGGTATTGCATTGCACAAATATTGGGTATAGAAACCACACAGAAAAATGGTAACATTAAAATTAAAGGGGTCATATGATGCTGCTAAAAAGAACATTATTTTGTGTATTTGGTGTAATGAAATGTGTTTATGTGGTTTAAGGTAAAAAAAACACATTATTTTCCACATACTGTACATTATTGTTTCTCCTCTATGCCCCGCCTTTCTGAAATGCGTAGATTTTTACAAAACTCATCGGTCTGAAAAGCGAGGTGTGCTCTGATTGGCCAGCTATCCAGTGAGTTGTGATTGGCCGAATTCCTCAAGCATGTGACGGAAATGTTTGGCCCCTTACCATACTGTGATGCCCTGTCCGGCCGGAGCGACGAGACAAAACCAATAAAACCCATTATAAACGAGGCATTTGTTGCATCCAGTGGGGACATAATTACGGATTATAATGACTTATTCGTTTTGCATTGCATCACGCCGCGTAAACATAAAACCATGTCTGCATTTGTGATCGGAGAAATGACAAACAACAAGCACTACTCTACACTGCTCAAAACTCGCGTTTGAATCGTCAGTGGCAAATTCTTTAAATATAAAAAACGTACTGGTACTTACAGTCTGTGAGTCAGAACAGCCGGCATTGTAGTCTACTCTACCAGGATTAGGAAACAGTCCTCCATAAAATGTGCTGCACACATCTGAATATTTGGGTTGAAGTGTTCTGGAACAGTGTTGTAAATACAACTTAACCACTGATTTCTAGTCGTGTCC